ACCACTTCTTCTTCTTCTTATTATTCTGATTTCTCATGATCGTCATCATCATCATGATCGTCATCATCATCATCGTATTCTTCTTCTATATTTACATTTACAAATAAAACAAGGAGCGTTTAATGTAATATATATATATAAAAAAAAAAAAAAAACAATATTACGATTGTGTAATAAACAAACCGCGTCTTTTACTCGTGTCGTTTATTCTTAACCAAGGGAAAGGTAAACGCAAATACTTTGACGTCATTTGTGCATTTTACTTGGAATCAGGAAATCGATGTTTGTTAATATAATACGGTAAGAGTAGAAACTTGCTTATCCATTGGCTACTACCTGTAAGCCGCTATTATTTTTGCTATCGCCGTTTGACGCGGGTAATCCTAAGCGCACGCGCAAGTGCAAACGCACGCGTATATTAACGCGCGAGCGTTCTCATGTTCAACTATATATAATAGGAATAAGAATGTTGATGATGATGATGATGATGATGATGATGATGATGATGATGATAATAATAGGTGAGAAGGAAAAGAAAAAAAAAATAGAATTAATCGATAAAACTTTAAAAATACAAACATAAACCATCCACCCTCGCCCCCCAACCCGACCCAACCTCTTACTCCCCATCTCCCCCATCTCCCCCCATCAACGTCAGCATGGGAAGATTCGGACTTGTGAAATAATTGTTTTCCATTTATTTTTATGACGCAGATTAATAAACATTTGCTATGTAGAAAGTGTTGTTAGAAACATTGTTAGGGTGTAAGGTAAGAAATGTGGGGGTATGGAGGGACGGGGGGAGGGGTGGAGTGGAGGGTAAGGGGTTAGTTGACGATTATATGTACCATCAACTCGTAAAAACTTATAATTAAGCATACGTCTTTGTATCAAGGTTTTATGACACGTGTCGTATTGGAATATGATGACCATGAGAGATCCTACGTAAATCTTTTAATTGAAAATTTCCGAATCTACGTCATAGAGAATATTCGAAGAGCAACGAGGTATTATGTTACAATCGCGTAAATTTATTTTCTTTATTAAATTCTTGTTAAAAATTATCTTCTTTATGTATATTTAAATATCGTTGATGTTGATGAAATAGGAAAAGAATTAGAAAGAAAACAAGGATTGTACTTTTTTTCATTCGTTTTTCTTCATTTTCTTTTATTATTATTTTTTATATATATATATATATTATAATATATAATATGTATATGTATTTATAAACATGTAATGTGTAATATGAATATACATATTATAATATTTAATATGTATATTATTATATGATTATAATATTAATTAATATATATATATATAAATATTTAATATATTATATTATTTAATAATATTTATTAAATTTATTTTTTTTATTATTATTTACTGTTATTATATTATATTATTATATTTATATTTTATTATTATTTAATATTATTATATTATATTTATTATTATTATAATTATATATTTAACAAATTAATATATTATATATATATATATATATATTTAATATTATTATATTATATTTATTATTATNTGTATGTATGTGCGTGCGGGCACGAGCGCTCACGCTATGGCACGTGTGTACAAATACACACATACGCTTATATGTATATATATATATATATATATTATATATATATATATATATATATATGTATATATTTGTATATATTAAAAATTAATTTATGCATATAGTTTTGTATTTGAAGTTTTGGAATTGAAAAAATGAGTGTACATTATTTGATTAATTTTATTTTATTTTATTTTTTTTATATTGAATTGAGAGCATATATAACATATATATAGTTATATATGTATGTAGTATTGATACGCATAGGTTCGATGACGCGTGTGTGAAAGTGTTTGTGTCAGTACATGAAGGAGAATCATCTATCGCAGACGATCTGTCTCGTTAATGTCTCACGAACAGTCATCGTATTATTTCATCATCGTTTACTGTAAAAGAAGAAAAAGAAGAAGAAGAAGAAGAAAGGAAATATATATTCGCTGATTTTTTCCTTCAACATTGAGAAATTTCATTTTAACCGTTCATCTTCGAATTTCGTAGAATATGAAAATTTTTTCCTAGTAAATGAAATTGAAGAAAAGAAGAAGAAGAAGAAGAAAAAAAAATGGGAAAGGAAGGTGATAAGGAAAAGAAGAAGAAGAAAAAATTAAACGATGATAAATTTATTATAATTATAAACAAAAAATATGTTTTAAACGTTATCACACATACATATATATATATATATATATATTTAGGCGTGTATGTATATTTTAAACAACGTGTTGTCGTATTTATTGCTATATTTACAATATTACAATAAATACATCTGAAAAATATAAAAAAAAAAACGTGTTTAACTTGAAACATAATAATTCATTAGCTATTACAAGATTACTAACAACTTTTTAACATTAACAAATACGATAAACAATACTGAAAACTAAAAACAAGGTATGTTTAAAAAAAATATAATACAATAGAAAAAGAAAAGCGAAAATTATTTTAAATAACAGCATTAAATAACAGCAATGAGTGTGTATTTCTAGACAGAAAAATTATAGTGTGTATAATAATATAGAAGAAAAAAAAAAAAAAAAACAAAATAGAAGACAAAAATAGTATCATGTCTCCTTACCCTTCCCATACTCTGTCAGCCAAAACGAGACGTCACAAATTTTATTCTTAGAACTCTCGATGATAATGTTAATTTTTTTTTTCTTCGTAATACCGAAAAAAAAAATAGAAGCACAGAAAAATAAATTTAAAAAAATAAAATTAAAAAAAACAAAACAAACAAGGGGAAAGAAGTTATAAAAATATATATATTAAATAAAATAAATAAAAATAAAAAAAAAAAGGGTTTCCTACGAATTTATACGATTAATATTATATAATTAATTTTTGTTAAATTTTATTTTATTATAAATAGAAAAAAAAAAGAGTTTCTTACAAATTTATACGATTAATATTATGTAATTAATATTTTTTTCTTATTTTATTTTATTACCAAGAATATTAAATTATATCGTGGAACTTTGCGTGTTTATGTTATGGTTATTTATGGTACGTGAGTTTGTCGTCATATTAAATAAAAAAAAAAAAAAAAAAAAAATTCTGCATATTGATATTATGTTCTATCCGCGTAGATAAACTTCACCGAATTGCGAAATGGGTTTTCTGGAATCGAACGTAAGAGAATCGATTTCTTCTTTTGAACGATCTTTCTGATGTCCGATAACAGAGAGACAAGATAGAATATTATTATTCTTATTATTATTATTATTATTTATTCAGAAAAGTTCTCAACTTGATTTTTTAATATAACAAATGTTGTAGTAGCGTACGGGTTTGTTTCTTTTTTTTTTTCTTTTTTTTTTTTATTCCACGTATAACATTTAAATTTCATATTCATAAAGCGAGTTTTTTTTTTTTTTTTTTAATTAAAACCGTATGTAAAATAAAATACACACACACGTTATATTTCCACCTACTACTTATTAATTACTACTACTACTACTACTACTATTACGCGTTTACTTCGATTATATATTCACATACACACTCATACATAACTTGGTTGTTTTACACAGAATTGATCAACTACTTTTTTTTTTTAATTATCTTCTTCTTCGTTTATATTCTAACTTTATTTATAGTAGTTTTATTATGATCGTTGTCTTTTTGATTGTAATCGTAGTTAAAGTTAGTCGAATTATATCGAATCGACACAGGTAAAAATTGCTTACTTTTCTTACTATTTTCGAAGAAAGAAAAAAAAAAACGTAAGAGTGGGAGGAGTCTGTCTCAATCGTGGAATTGATCGATCGATTGACATTGATGTTTTTCTTTTTTCTTTTTTTTTTTTTTTTTTTTTTTTTTGGTTGGTCCAAAAATGAAATTCTTCGGAAGAGAATCTCGCGAAAGAAACATTGATAATAGACAAATGCAAAATTTATAATTATATAATCTCACTTATACTTAACTTNCGTAAGAGTGGGAGGAGTCTGTCTCAATCGTGGAATTGATCGATCGATTGACATTGATGTTTTTTTTTTTTTTTTTTTTTTTTTTTTTTTTTTTAATTGGAATCCAAATGAAATTCTTCGGAAGAGAATCTCGCGAAAGAAACATTGATAATAGACAAATGCAAAATTTATAATTATATAATCTCACTTCACGTTACTCGCACTCTTCGTGTATTATTCCTTTTCTTCTTTTTTTTTATTCTTTCCTATCGGTAAAACCGATAACAGTTGGTCTTCTACCAAGAAGAATAATCTTGGAATTGACATAAATTCGAAGAAAATTATACGAATGATAAATAATTTACTTATTACTTTACTTTTTTTTTTTTGTTATTGTTGCGATATATCCAACAAGAGAGGATTCGTAACTCGATTTGATTTTTATTCAATTTCACGTTATTTCGAGGTTATGTTGTAAAAATAATCAAATTTATTTTATCATCAAATTGATTTGAAATTGAATTGATTTTTCTTACGAACAAATTATATTGTTATTAACAATAATTTTTTAATTATCAAACGTATTATCGCAATTTTCAAACGTATGATTTTTATTTTTATTTTCTTCTTTTTTTTATTTCAACACAAAAATGTGGGATTTGATATTTTATAGGTTATAGAAAAGATTCTTTTTGAGATAAGACTCATAAGTTCTCGTTAGATTTATTTTATTTAACAAGATAACAACAATATTAATTATATGTGATTTTTTTTCCTTTTTTTATTGTTTTCTTATCACCTGGTCCCCCCATCTTTTGTTTCACATCACTCGCCATGACAATTTTTATTATCATCTCATTTTTATTTTCAAATCAATCTCTTTCCTTTTTTTTTCTATTTTCGTATTAATTAATAAATAATAATAATAATAATAATGGATTTATAAAATTGACGTTTTTTTACAAAAGACTACTTTTCTTTTCTTACGTCAAATCAATCAATGTTTATAATCGATTATGTTAAATTAAATTCCACATATGTAAAACGAGCCACAAACAAAAAATGTAGAATAAAGTTCTGGTAATTATATGTAAATACCACATTCTGTAAAACAAATAATACAATTTTATTACGTATCTTTTATCTATTAGGTGGTACAAAAAGTCGTTTCGTTTTTTGCTGACACAATAATGGCATTAATTGATGCAAATCGACAAATAGTAACACATGAGATCGATGATATGTTAAATTTATCAAAGTCAACTATTTATGATCACTTGAAAGGTTGAAGGTTTAACCTCGAAGTAAAAATTATCTCTTCATTTTTACAAAAGTAATACGAAACGACTTTTCGAACTATCTAATATAATGAAATTTTAAGGAACAAAAAAAAAAAAGAATGGTAACCTTATTAGTACGATTATCTACATATTTAACAAATATTTATGCATGCAAATGAAAAACTAAAAAAAAAAAAAAATAACTAGCAAAAAGATAAGAGAAAGATTGATAAATCGTCGATTAATAATTTATGCATTGTAACCATTTTTACAAATGATTAATATTCAAACTGGTCGCCATATTTTGCGATAATTATAAAAAAAAAAAAAAAAAAAACTTCACGTTTTACATTGATCGAAATTACGAGTAATTAACTGACATCAGAAAAAGAAATAAACAGATGTGTGCAGATCACACACGATAGAAGAAGTGAAACCTTCTTCAAAGAAAACCAAGCTTCGAGACGTGAATATATCGAAACAATTGAATTGTAATACAGCGCCATCTATTGAAAGAATCTTACAGAACTTAGATGAATCTCTAAATAAAAATCTTTAAATTAATAATAAAAAATAATACAAAAAAACTAAGTTTCGAGAGAATGAGAGTATTCTCTTCTTATTTAGTATCACAGCTGTTTCATCGCGTTCCACCGCTCCGTTACATAGCCGCCTACCGCTCCGTTACGTTTTTTCAAATCACACCCATTCTAAAGAAGTTTTCACTTCGAAAAAATCGCGATTAAAATTGTGCTATATGCTAAGTTGGAAAAAAATCACTAAGTGAAATAAAAATCAATTTCATTAAGATAAGTTTGAGTAGTTTCGAAATGATTATTGGACAAACATATTGTGACACTGAATTTGATTAATTAAATCATTATTTTTGTTTCATCAATTTCACGTTCATCCAATTCACGATTTTCAAATCACCCTGATTCTAAAGAAGAAATTTTCACTTGAAAAAAACAAAAACAAATATAGAAAAATCTTATAACGGAAATAATCAACTGGAAAAAAAATCAATGAAAACGTTGACCGCAACGCGAATTCTTAGGGAAATTTCCGTCAGGTGCTACAGGTGTTACTTTGTATTGAAAAAATAGTTGAACGTGTCAGTCACCAGTGAAGGACGCGGCCTTAATGTAAAGTCAATGTCTGTCATCGATGACTGACGTGGCATTTAACTTGTTAAATTATGTTACATAATTATAATAATAACGATCACTCAGTTTGGAACGTACGATAACCTTTGAACTCTATTATTATGCTTTCACTTGATGACAAGGATAGTCATATTTTACGGAATTTATTATAATACGATTGGAAATTCCCAACGTAACTTCAATATCGTAGTTTCTTTCTCTCTTTCTTTCTCTCTCTCTCTCTCTCTCTCTCTCTCTCTTTTTTTTATAACATCTTAATCGATATTGTTAAACTCGTTTCGATTTGTGAAAGAAAAAACTTAAGATTAGGATGTTAATTTAAATAAATGACAATATAATGAATGCTTAAGTCATCCAATGTCAAAATTGGATTTACCTTTTCTCTGACTAATCGTTACACTATTCCAGTGGTTGGCAATCTTTTCTTTTTCTCTCTAAAGTTACACGTTTTTGCACGTGAGTAATCCCCAGTACCACACACACACACACACACACACACATCCATATCATACATACTCGAGTTACTTCGTTTTTCATTGATTACGTCACACGTTTCACATCTCTCTCTCTCTCTCTCTCTTTATCTCTTCCTTTCTATTTTTATTCTTAATTTCTTTTAAATCTTTTTCCTACTTTTTTTTTTTATTTAATCACTTTTTTTATGTGTTAAAAAAGAAAAATAAAAAAATAAAAAAACAAGTGTCGAATAGTAGGATAAAAATGATCTCTCACGTGTATTTCATATCTTCTAATAATTTACTTTTCGATTTATATTTATTCGAATTATTAATTAATTCGAATTATATTTATACTCGTCGTATAGAAATTAATTTAACATCATTCCTTAGATTTATATATATATATATATATATTTTTTTTTTTTTTTATTTTTTTTAATGGTAAGAGAAATGGTAAACGTTTTATACGACCATGATCGTAAAGTTTTAAAATAACTTTTCAACAAGTTAAAAATAAATAACACGGCGCCTTTAAAAAAATACGTACAATTATATGTATGTAAGTATGTAAGTATGTAAGTATGTATGTATATAGTTTGTTGTTCGTTGACGACGATTCCGTGGTCGGTTGTGCATTACTTGGGGATTTCCTACGTTGCAAACGTGACGTGCCTTGTTATCTCACTTTTGTCTCTTCTCCCAACCCCCCCTCTTCCTTCCCCCCCTCTCCCCCCCCACAGCATGTATCTTTCTATCTCTGTTTTTCTATTATCGTCATCTTTATTTATTATGTTTATTTGTCGTACGTTATCCGAACGAAGTGCAAATGAGAAAATTGTAAGGAGTTACTTTGCAACTTGTCAATATTTGAAATTGACAAACGTTACTTTGTACATTTTATTGCAAAAATATGTGCAATGATATTTAGTAATATATATATATATATATATAAACGATCACATGTATACTTTAATTACATACAATTATCAGAGATTGTTCAACCCTAACGCGTGACATTATTTAATTGCAAATAATAATGATAAATATAGAAGAAGAAAAAGAAGAAAAAGAAAAAGAAGCAAGGAATAGAAAAAACAAGGTATTGAAACTATTTGTCTAAAGATATGCGAAAAATTGTCGTTAAACATTAATTTGTGTTTATTACGACGTAGGTGTTTAATATGTTCTCACGTTTCGAAAACTTTTGTAAAAGGGGGTACGAAATTCAAAACTATTTGATAATTATTCGGAATTCATTGAAACGATTCCTACTACTACTACTACTACTAATACTACTAATACTAATGTAACGGTAACGTGTGTACTTTAAATGTGGCAACAGCTATGCGACCTAGTTTTCAAAGAAAGAGAAAGAGAAAGAGAGAGAGAGAGAGAGAGAGAGAGAGAAAACCAGGCGACATTGCAATCGACCAAACACTCGGTGTGAACAAACTTGCACAGTGACCAAAAGCTCACGATCAAACCGTCACAGTTCGCCTAATCTTCTTGATAACATAGTTTTTTTTTTTTTCTTTCTAAGTTACATCATCATCATCATCATCATCATCATTATCATCAACTTACTTTTCAAGATTCTGTTTCTTTTAGTTCGCTTAATTTGAATTTTTGTTTGTTTGTATCTTTTATTATTTTCTCCACCTTAGAGAGAACTTCAACATTTGATTCAAAAATAGAAAGAGATTGATAGCAAAAAAAAACTGTATCATGTGAAATTGTATGATTTTTTCTTTGTTCTCTTTTTTTTTTATTTATTATTATTATTATTATTATTATTATCGTGCAGCAACATCGTTCACAACGACTCTTCAATCTTTCGTAAGTAAGTTAGTAAAATACTATATGAATATTTAATAATGATGATTATTTGAATGATTTTAAATAAGATGATTGATTAATTAGAAATAAACTTTATTCTCACCTTCTTAATCCACGTTGATTTTTTTCAATATTCATTTCTTCTTTCAAAAGATATTTCTTACTTCCTAGTATACTAGATCTGAAAGTAAAAAATAAAAACAAAAAAAAAAATTCACGAAACGTAAGATAAGAAATATGATTATTAATTTTCGTTTGATCAAAAATTAATTTTGATGTGTCATTTATGATAATATTGGATAATTTTGTCATTGTCAATGTAATTGTAAAAAATTTACAAATTGTACGTCTTTTTGTTGACAGAGAGTGAGAGAGAGAGAGAGAGAGAGAGAGAAAGACAGAGATGTTTTGAGTATGTGAAAAATTGACAAATGTTTCAATTTACATTGACAAATTTGTGTTGTCTAATATAAAGTATAAGTTTATTAAAACTTACTTTAATGCGTTATCTTCAGATATTTCATAAATACTTTTACTTGCAAATACAACTCTATCCTCAGCAGCTACTGAATCTAATAATTGCACAGCTTTTTCATTTACAAAGTCCCATGAATGGTCAATGAAGTAGGACAGAAAAACACTGCTAATATATATTTTCCTTTGTATTTTGGCCAATCTAGTAATCGAAAAATATTGACATTTATATTAATATAAATTATAATATATATATATATATATATATATATATATATATGTATAAATATTATCGTGACAACAAAGGATACTTTCATCAAATTAATTATTAATTATCATATATATATATATATAATAAATAATAATAATATAATAATATAATATATGATAATAATAAAAATGAATTAAATATAAAAATATATATATATATAATAATTGATTATAATAATTATATTAATTAATAATACTATTAATTAATATAATTATATGAATTATAATAATATTAATATAATAATTATATTAATAATTGATTATTAATTCGATGAAAGTGTCCTTTGTTTTCACGATCAAATTAAAATACGAGTTACTTTTTCTTCTTTTTTTTTTCTTTTTTTTTTTTTATATTTCAATAATAATACCTAATTATTTTCTAAGAATATTGGTATTTAATTTTAATTATAGTTGTATTTCAAATTATTACTGGAACAAAATTGCAATAATAATTCGTCAAATTATATTCTAAATTAATAATTGTCTAATTCTCATTTAGTTTCGTATTTTTTCTTTTTTTTTTTGTTTAATCAAAGAAAAAAAAAATTTCCAAAAATTAATCTCAAACAATAAAAAGAACAAATCGTCGTTTAATCCTCTAAAAAAAAAAAAAAAAAAAAAAAAAAAAAGTATTTTAACACTCACATCGGTTTATGTCCCATCAGTTTCAATATTTGATCTATCACCATGGCCGGTAATAATTGGAGGAAGATAAAATAAATGTNAATAATAATTCGTCAAATTATATTCTAAATTAATAATTGTCTAATTCTCATTTAGTTTCGTATTTTTTCTTTTTTTTTTTGTTTAATCAAAGAAATTAAATTGACACGGGAATATTTCTCAGACAAGTTCCTATCGTAAAGTATTGTTAAAATGTTAAAAAAAAAAAAAAAAGAAAAAAAAAAATGTATTTTAACACTCACATCGGTTTATGTCCCATCAGTTTCAATATTTGATCTATCACCATGGCCGGTAATAATTGGAGGAAGATAAAATAAATGTAATATAGATAGAAATTTGAAAATATGATCACAGTTGGATACCATAAAGGATTTGATAATGGATTGATCTGATTATATTCGAGTGATTTAGAGATTATATATTGTAGAGTGATTTTCTTCAATTTGTATGATGACTCATTGTAAACCATTGCTGTTGGATGTTGTTCTACCCTATGATTATGGTAAATTCATAAAACGCGTTAGAAATATATAATTATTATTATAAATACTATATATATATATATATATATATTGAAAAATAATTTTTACTGTATTTACGTTTTTTGTCCTCGTGTATAAATGGCAAGTATAAATACTTTTACAGCCAAATCTACTGGAATATAATCCATTACTTTATCTGAATTAAAATATGCTCCATTTAATAATCCTTTGCCACCAGCTACCATTAAACCTACTGGACCATTAAAATTATCTATCCATCCAGGAATTGGATCATCTATCGTATTAATGACTAAAAATAAACAACAAATATTATACATAAATATATATATAGGGTGATTCACCAGTTTTTTGCCACTTAGATAATTATTTAAATTTTAATTAATGAGATTTCAAGAGAAATTTCTATTGTAATTTATTTCTATAAATATTCGCAATAATGGACAAACAAACAAAACAAAAATTTAAAAATTACTTACCTATCGATGGTCTACAAATAACGCAAGGTAATCGATCGGAATAATAATTGATCACATCTTCGGCTAATTTTTTGGTAAATATATAAGTGTTCGGCATGTTGCCTATCAATCTGTGTTATGTGCGTGTGTGTAAGAAAAGATAATATTATTATATCGTTTATTATATAATATATTAGATTAATTATATATATATATATATTATATAATAATATAAATAATATTATATAATATATATGTATATATAATTATTCTTAAAAGAAAATTAATGAACAGTAATAAATATTTTACTTTGATGTTAAAACTCTTAATAAATAATCGTCGACATTTTCTGCTATTTTAATAGCATCCATCCAATTGAAATCTGATGGTTTGTATGGAATTTCATGTACGACAGGTTTATCACAATGTGCATAGGTCGAACTTATGTGTAACAAAACCTGTAAAAAGAAAGAAAAAAAAATTGAAATTTAAAGATTGACAAATTGTTCTTCTCTTTTTTCTATTCTTTTTATATATATATATATATATATTCGTTTAAATCAACACTCACTTCTAATTTTTTCATACTTTCACCCAAAAGACAAATTTCATGTATAGATCTAGTGTTAGTGAAAATTGCGTTTTGCAAATCATCGTCAAATCTGACATTAGCAGCATTGTGAATAATAATAGAAACATTATCGATGATAATTTGTCTATCGATAGGATTCATTCCTAAATTTTTTTTCGTTATGTCGCCAAATATTGGAACAATTTTTTTATATGCCGATGGATTCATTTCATTGAGTTTATCGAAGAGCTGAAAAAATGAAAAAGAAAAAGAAAAAGAGAAACTGTGAACTTGTCTCAACTATATTTTACGAATGAAATTTTTTTTTTTTTTTTTTCAATAATACTCTTTCAACAAGACAACTTGATTGAACATAAATTAATTGAATTTATACACTCTCATGATAAAATATATAAATTTTTGTTAACCTTTGCTTACACCACACTTGGTTCAAACAACCCCAGACCTCTTTTTTTGCAACTTGAGTCATTTATCTCAATCGTTCAACTTTGATAATATTTTTTAAACATATTTCAATTTAATTCAATGCTATTAAAATCTATCTAGTCTTGTTTAAGTAAGTATTAAAAGAAGTCTCAAAAAAAAAAAAAAATGTTGAAGTAAATCTATGCAATAGTTAATTTTTGCTAACAATTTTTCTCGCCCGGGTCCTTTAGACCCGAGTGTGGTTAAGCGTGTTATTCCAAAGAAGGGTGATAAGCAAAGGTTAATTGTTATTATTATTATTTAATTAAAATAATTGTGAAATTACCGGTAATGAAAAGATTTTCTTTAATCTTTCCTCAATATTTACTCCTTTTTTGTCTCTTATCAACAAATACAATTTATCAATCTCCGGACAGGAACGTAATAATTTTTCAATCAATACTTTTCCAATAAAACCAGTACCACCCGTTATAAATATACTTCTACCGGCAAAAAATTTGGCCACATTTCTAATCACGTAATTCTTATTATCGTTCATCTGAAATTAACACGATATGTAGATAGAGAAAATTAAATGATTATTTTTTTTTTTATTATTACACTATGATCAATTTCACACACTTACACACCTTTTATATTCACGATCTTTCTTTCTTTTTATTATTTTAAATTAAATAGTAAAAGGGTTTCAATAAATTGTTAAATAAAAAAAAACAAAAAAATGATTTTACTTTTAATGTTAGTTTTTGATCGAAGAACAAATTGAAATATTCGTCATTCGAATGCGTACGAACCGAACTTACCTTTAACACTAAACTTAAAGTGATACGAATCGAATCGAATCGAATTTGTTTATCATTAATAAGACAGGAAATGATATGGTAAAAAAAAAGAAAAAGACAATGGTCACTTTTTCCTGTTGCTCATTGTTGTTGCCCAATGGGTTTACACGTACATTGTGGATTTAAATTCTGGTTTTTTTTTTTTTTTTTTTTTTTTGATTTTAATTTTATCAAAGCGATACATTTTCAATACAAATAAATTTATGTTAATAATGGGTAATCTAATTAATTCACGAATATTATTTTGTTAAATAATGATTAAATATTTATAAACTTTGAACGATAAATAAAGAAAGAAAGTAATATAAAAAAAAAAATTTTTTTTTTTTTTTTATTTAACCGGAAAATGTAAATCAAATATAAGACAGAACTAGTAGTTACCTTATTGAATATTCACATGTAATGTTTTATTAAAAAATTGTTAGGAATATTTAATTAATAAAAATTGTTGGGTATAATTTACACGTGGATGAGATTTGTTGGGAAATAGTAATATGAACGTTTATATTGTTTTATATTTATTACAAATATAAAATTATAATTATTTTTATATTTTAAATTATTATTAATAAATTATCATTTATATTGGTTTCATATTTATAATAAATTAAAATTATAATTATATAATATTTTAAATTATTATTAATAAATAATCATTTATATTGGTTTCATATTTACAATAAATTAAAATTATAATTAAATAATATTATAAATATTATTTAAATTACAAATTTAATAATATAATCGTTTTAATATTGCAAATTAGCAATCGAATGACAATTCATTGTTTATCAATGATCGATTTATTAATAATATTCTTTATTTTTATCGATAATCGTTTATTATTATTATTTTGATTTAACTTCAAAGCTTAACGTTCAGTTTATTTTCATCGTTGGTTCGATCAATTTTTTTATTAATTTTGTATCCTAAGTTATCCAAAGTTTTTCGGAAAACGGATGATCAATTTTGTACGATGATTAAGAAAATAAAAATATAAAGGTAAACGATTAATAATGATCAATGTAATTTCACATTTACGAAGTGACACTCGTATTATTAGGTCGAGTCATAAATAACTAGAATCTATTTTTCTTATTTACCTATTATAAGTCACCGAAACAAACGGATTTTCGATATCACTGTATAGATGAGAATTCAGTTTAGTCTTCTGTTAACTTTTTTTATGCAATCAATGTTACATTCAACCGTTTTTTCTTAACACGTTAACGCCTGCGCGTACCACCGGTGACCCGCGCTTGACTGTCCCATCGGGCGGCGCGTACCACCGGTGGTCCACCTTGGTTCAGGTTTGAACAAGCAAAAATCACGCGCCGCCAGATGAAGCGCATCTTAGATTCGAGTGCCGTCCCACAGCGCAGACACTGAAAATCGGCGCCGGCGTCAACGTGTTAAACCACTGAAATGGGATAGTAGAAAAGTGCATATTCGACTTGTAATGCTTTAGGAATTGAAACAAGGCAATTAGCACTAAAGTGGCAACTGAAAAAATATACAGCTTATACAGTGCAGGACTTGATAACTGATAGGGCAGTCAGAAATTGGTTTGTCAAATTCCGTTTCTGGAGATACGATCTTAAAAGATGAACCAAGTGCAGGGACGTATTTCCGACTTTGACGAACCTTTTAAAGGTAATATTGAGAGCAAATTCCAATGGATACGTTGAACAATTGCAAAGAGTACAAACAAAAAACTCGATGAAAGGTGTCTTGCACTTATCAGTCGCAGAAATGCCATTCTTTGTCTCATGAAAAATGGAAATTATTTATTACTCGACCTAATATATTATTAAAAAAAAAAAGATTGAGATACTTAATTGGTTAACCTGTTAGATGGATAATGAAGAAGATGATTCAAAATTGAATTTATCTGATATCAGTGTTAACGATGAAGATGTTAGTACAACGGATATGGGATTTCACGTTTCATCGGAACAATTAAATGTTGATTTGAAGGATACAAAGTTAGTTATATTAATTAAAACAAAAACAAACAAAAAAAGACAAATATTATCTAATCGTACAATTAATAATAATTATAATATAATAATAATAATATTATTATTAGGAACACGTAGTTTTCGTAGGAACTCGAGAGTTCCTACTAAGGAAGAAAATTTCATTTATAATTTAAATATAAATAAAATTATTAATAAATTTAATATTTTCTTTTAATTGAAAATTTTTCAAAATAAAATATAAATTAAATAGAATTTATATAATATATAAATATAATAATAAATTGTTCAAATGGTATTTGTTTTCCATTTGGAAACGTAAATTTGAAAAAAAAAACCAAAATAAACCCTCCCCCCACCCAAACAAAAAATAAATAAAAAAGAAGAAAAAACAATTGACGTACCCACTTTTATTGGATATCATTTGAAAAATAGCATCGGTTTGGTTCTGCAAATGTCATGAAAATAAATCAAAAGGACATGTAGGGGTTTGGGTGGGGTGAGAAGGGGATGGAATATTCGTTATACATTTAAAAGCATAGCCACCAAGTGAAGTTTGTCGAACACTCAATGTGGTATGATATTTAATGGATGTTGTTGGTTGATGATGGTTCGACATTTCAACGAACTCTGCCCACGTAAATACGCGACTTTGATTGAGTAGCTGGACGAACCAAGAAAACAAAAAAAAATTTAAAAAAAAATAAAATAAATAAAAATAAAAAACAAAAGTTCCGAAAAATGTATAGGCGTTTTGTTTGAACGTTCAAATAATTCCGAGAGAAAATCAAATAAGTTCGATGAGTCTTTTTTTTATGAATGTATGTGTACACACACATATATATATATTTGAATGAGTGTATTCATAGGTGACGTGTAACTTTAAATTGAATATTTTAAAAAGATTCCAGACGAATAATTATTGTTCGTAGAATTATTGACAAAAATTCATTTTAAATTTCATTTCGTACAATTCGAAAATAATGTGACTCACAATCAGTCCGATACACACGTCTTTAAATCAACGAATTACCTTATATCGCCATCTGTTAGAATCTTATCGAACTAACAGAGATAATCATGACTCTAATTAATTAATAAACAAATAATTGGCAATAAAATGATATTGCGATTATAAATTGAGATATAAACTATTCTATCTTTCAAGTTGGATAAAACTGCACATAGTGTGTACAATTTTATTTAAATAGGGTTAGTAGTTTAAGAGTCCATTGCAAACAAACAACGTGACACGTAATTTATATATATTAAGAAGATATATTAGGTTATTCGGAAAGTAATTACGTGTTTTCTTGACACAATTTTTGAAATTAGTTAATGCAAATTGGCAAATAAAACAAGTAGTTTAGGAGTCCATTGCGGACAAACAACGCGTAACACGTAATTTATATATATTAAGAAGATATATTAGGTTGTTCGGAATGTAATTACATGTTTTCTTGACACAATTTTGAAATTATTTAATGCAAATTAGATTAGTTAATGCTAATTGATTAGTTAATTGCAAATTTGATATATCAATTCTTAAATTTGATTTAAAGAATTAAATTCATCAAACGATATATATATTTTTTTTTTTTGAAACAAAATTTCCATACACGTTTTTCGAAGAATAGAAGAAGATGCTACTCTATCTTATTATCATTTTAATTATACTTAATAAATTTTAAATATGTATTCTTTGAATATCGATCAATGTTTCTCATCCTTTTTTTTTATTATTGCTATTATTATTTCTCAGAGACGTCGTAAGAGTTAAAAGTGATACAACAAGAAGTAAAAGTAAAACTGGTTTGAACGATACCAAAGATGATTTCTACTTATACGTGCCTATTTACGACGAATACCAAGAGGAAACTAGTGTTGCTTTCAAATGGGAACCTCCAAAGCCAAAGATAATTCCTCGTGCATCTCATTTAGTAAATATTCACATTTTTTCTATATTATAAACAAAATATCGTAGTTTCCTTTATTATTATTATTATTATTTTTTTTTTAATTAAATGAACAGATAAAATTCGTTGTTTCGTCATTTTGAAAATTTACAATTTAAATTTGGTCTTAATTTTTATATTTTTTTAAATTTTATTTTTACGTTGATACTTTGTACAAATATTTAATCAAATTATTATTTAAATTATTAGCCAGTATGTGGAAGTAAAAAAAAAAATTGTAATGGATGCTTCAACAAATTCGTTTAAATTTTTTAATTTATTTTTATACATAT